TTTTAAAGATTTGTGGCTCCCAGTAGAATGTAAATTAGCACACATTTCCTTTACTGAAAAAGTCTCCCTGTGAACAAATCAGCTGAACTAAAAGGTGTGCTTACTGATATTGTTGATTTACATTCCGATGCAGCTCCTTATCTTATCACGGACCAGCACTTTGAGCAGTCCTGTGTTAGCATTCACTTGAAAGCAAGTAGAGTTTTGAGAGAGAACCAAGACAGATGATTTTCAGGAAGTTCTTTCTTTCTTTTTTTTTTTAATATATTTTATTGATTTTTTTACAGAGAGGAAGGGAGAAGGATAGAGAGTTAGAAACATCAATGAGAGAGAAACATCGATCAGCTGCCTCCTGCACACCCCGTACTAGGAATGTGCCCACAACCAAGGTACATGCCCTTGACCGGAATCGAACCTGGGACCCTTCAGTCCGCAGGCCGACGCTCTATCCACTGAGCCAAACCGGCTTCGGCAGGAAGTTATTTCTTGATTCATATATTCTACCAAATCAAAATCTGCTAAGCATCTTATCAAAATTAAAAACTTTTATTCCACAAAATACTCAGTTAAGAGGATGGAAAGAGATTACAGACTCGGGAAATATTTGCAAACCACATACCTGACAAAGAACTAATATCTAGAATGTGTTAAAAAAAACTCTCAAGCCCTAACCGGTTTGGCTCAGTGGATAGAGCGTCGGCCTGTGGACTCAAGGGTCCCAGGTTCGATTCCGGTCAAGGGCATGTAGGCATGTACCTTGGTTGTGGGCACATTCCCAGTACGGGGTGTGCAGGAGGCAGCTGATCGATGTTTCTCTCTCATCGATGTTTCTAACTCTCTATCCTTCTCCCTTCCTCTCTGTAAAAAAATCAATAAAATATATTAAAAAAAAAAACTCTCAAAACTCAAACTACAATTAAGAAAAGACCAAACAATACAATTAAGGAAATGGGTAAAAGACATGAATAGATATTGCACTCAAAAGGATGTACAGTTGGCAAACAAGCACATGAGTGAAAAGATACTCGGTATCATTAACCATTGGGGAAATGTACATTAAAAACACAGTGAGCCGGGGCCTGGTTGCTCAGTTGGTTGAGAGTCGTCCCAATAGACCAAGGTTGCAGATTCGAGCCCAGGTCAGGGCACATACAAGAATCAACCAGTGAATACATAAATGAGTTATGTATTGGGCAGATCCATGTTTCTCCCTCCCACCCCACCCCTTCCTCTCTCAAGGCAATTAAATTTTTTTAAACACAATGAGATATTGCTACACATCTAGAAGAATGACAAATAAAAAATAGTGATAACACTAAATGCTGGTGAGGAAGCAGAGAAACTGAATTATTCATTCATTAGTTGTGGGAATGTAAGATGTACAGCCTCTTTGGAACACAGTTGGGCAGTTTATTTTTTATTTTGAGAGTACCTTTATTAAAGCTGGGGGCAGTGAAGCAAAGAAGGGCCTAGGATAGAAGAAGTAATAGGCTAATTTTTAGGTTGATAATTTTGTACGGCCTGCAAATAATGCTATAAATATCCAAATGGCCTTTGGCTGAAAAAAGGTTCCCCATCCCTGCCTTAAACAGACTAAACATGTACCCATCATATAACATAGCAGTTGCACACCTGAGCATTTATTCTAGAGAAATGAAAACAACTTTCCACCAAAACTTGTATATGCATGTTCATAACAGCTTTATTAGTAAGAACCTAAAAGTAGAAATAAGCCAGATGTCCTTCAATGGGTGAATAGTTAAACTATAATACACTCATACTATGGAATATACTCAGTAATAAAAAGGAACAAACTATCGATACAACAACTTGACCAAATCTCCAGAGAGTTTTACTAAGTGAAAAGCCAATCCCAAATGAAATGGACTGGGTGATTTCATTTATATTATGCTCTTAAAATAACATAAATGTATAAACTGGAGAAATTTAGGAGTAGGTGTGGCTGTAAGGGGGTAGAAGGAAAGAGCCTGTGGTGGTGATATAGTTCCTTTTTTTTAAAATATATTTTTATTGATTTCAGAGAGGAAGGGAGAGGGAGACAAAGATAGAAACATCAATAATGAGAAAGAATTACTGATCGGCTGCCTCCTGCACGCCCCCTACTGGGGATCGAGCTCACAACCCAGGCATGTGCCCTTGACCGGAATCGAACCTGGGACCCTTCAGTCCGCAGGCCAAAGCTCCATCCACAGCCAAACCGGCTAGGGCAGTGGTATAGTTCTTTATCTTGATTGTGGTGGTTACATGAAACTACCTATGTGATAAAATTGCAAAGAACTATGCATATGCATACACATAAGCAAACAAAGATGAGTGCATATATAAATGGTAAAATCTGAATAAACTCTGGTTTATCAATTTCAGTTTCCTGGTTTTAATATCGTACTATATTATACAAGATGTTAGCATTGGGGGAGCCTGGGTAGAAGGTGCATGGAACCTTCCTGTACATTTCTTTGTAATTGCCTGAGACTCTAATTTTTGAAAGTCAAAGGTTTAAGAAAAACTTGGGGTGGTGAACAATACAATATACAGAGAATGTGCCCAGCTGGTGTGGCTTAGTGGTTGAGTGTCGACTCATGAACCAGGGGGACACGGTTCAATGATTCCCAGTCAGGGCACATGCCTGGGTTACAAGCTCCATTCCCAGGGAGGAGCAAGCAGGAGACAGCCAACTGATTATTATTTTTCATCATTGATGTTTCTTTCTCTCCCTTTCCCTTCTCTCTGAAATCAATTTTTTAAAAAACAACAATATACAGAGAATGTATTCTAGAATTGTAACCTAAAACCTATATAATTTTATTAACCAATGTCACCCCAATAAATTCAATAAAAAATAAAATGATTTTTTTTTTTAATTTAAGAAAACTTTGTATCCTTTCCATGTCAGGTATAAAACCTGGCTCCTAGGGATATAGCTATAAACCTACACGGCCTCTGTCTCATGGACTAATGGTCTTGATTATGTTGGGTAGCAACCAGGTTGAACAATTAATGGCAAAAAAATGATGACTATTATATGTGGGACCTGTATGTGAGAGAGCAAAGCAAGTGATTGAGCTTCATCTTGGGGATCTGGAGGGAACAATTTAAATGAAGACTTGAAAGGTGAAGAGGCATTAGCAATGTGAAGAGTTACAGGAAGAACATCCCAGGCCGTGAAGAGTTATAAATAAGTAGGTCCAATACTCCAGTGTCATTCAATAAAATACTGCTTCTTTTTGGAGGAGGAAAGCAATTGACAGGATTAGTTACTAGATCAGCCGTGGGCAAACTACGGCCCACGGGCCGGATCCAGCCCGTTTGAAATGAATAAAACTAAAAAAAAAAGACCGTACCCTTTTATGTAATGATGTTTACTTTGAATTTATATTAGTTCACACAAACACTCCATCCATGCTTTTGTTCCGGCCCTCTGGTCCAGTTTAAGAACCCATTGTGGCCCTCGAGTCAAAAAGTTTGCCCACCCCTGTACTAGATTCTAGACTGATGAAGGTAATAGTCTGCTAATAGCATTGTCCCATACTTAGGTTGACGCTGCCTTACCCTTGGACATCCTAACCTACGAAGAGGAGACCTTGTCAGCCATCTTGAGAATATGTAGCAGGTACGACAAACAGCATTTCTAGTATAACAGAGCAGAGATGGGTGGGGAAATAGAGCCAAAATGCTCTTTTCTGAGAATAAGAAGAGCTTTGTCATTGTGAACTCTGAGCAGCTTTTGGAAGTTTAAACTGCGGAGAACATGAACATCATCTAGCAGGAGCTTACACCCTAGAGAGCAAAACGTGGATTTGCTTACAATTGTAGTGTTTCCCAATTGATGGTGATGGTTGCAACTTCAGAGATATAGCCCTAGCCGGTTTGGCTCAGTGGATAGAGCATCGGCCTACAGACTGAAGGGTCCTGGGATCGATTATGGTCAAGGGCACATGCCCAGGTTCCAGGCTCAATCCCCAGTAGGAGGTGTGCAGGAGGCAGCCGATCAATGATTCTCATCATTGATGTTTCTCTCTCTCTCTCTCTCTCTCTCTCTCTGTTTCTCTCTCTCCCCCCCCCCCTTCCTCTCTGAAATTAATTAAAAAATATATAAAAAAAGAAATTAGTATTATTTTAAAATTGAGAAATATATATTTTAGAAACATTTCTAATTGTGGTTCATTTTATTCTCTGCCGATAGTATACTATGCTTTAAAGTTTTCTCATTTAAATTGAGTTTTCTGAACTGTCACAAACAAAAGTACTTGGGAGATGTTGTAGGGACACATCTTTATGCTTTCTCAATTTTTCTGCAGTGGTCTTGTCAGGTTGTGGAGCTCTTTGACCCTGTTAGGATCCTATAAAGGCAAGAAATGTGCCTTCAGAGTGATTCAGGTAAAGACTATTGCTTCACATATTCCAAACAAGGCTGAGTAGTGGATCAAACTGCTTTTTAGAATGTGTTCCATTTTTCTGCTTGTATAACTCTAGTTTGGTTACTGTCATCCAGTGGGGAGGGAGGGGAACCCAGGCATTCATTGCTTCTGGAAACATGAGGCAAAGCACTTAGAGTGTAGAATGTATGGGAAGAGTTTTGGGATAAAACTTGGAACCTTGTGGAGAAATCTTAACTTTCACTTACTGCATAATGCCTAGTGACTTGTGTATTGGAGCGCTCTTTCTGAGCTCATCATGACCACTTGCTTACCTATGGCTACCTCTCAGAATGCTTGTTAAAATGCTACTGCATCAGGTTGGCTTATTCTGTAAGCTAGCCATGTTTCTACATTGCCCTGCGTTTCAGTGCAATTTTCTCCTGATAACTGTGTAAACATTTTTCTTTCTATTATAGGTTTCTCCATTTCTCCTTGCATTATCTGGTAATAGTAGGGAACTAGTATTGGATTGAATGGTCTTCAATTCCAGAAACATTCCTCTGCTCTCAAAACTATCTTTTGGTGCCAGCATAATGCTTGATGACTGAAACAGGCTCAGCGCTCCTGTTGATGGAATTTGAGGGTGCCGAAGATGTTCCCCGTAATTTCCAGCTGTCGTCTTTGGTGGTGTAGCCTTCAGAGGAGAATCTGCCTGAACCAACCAGTTGTAAGCAGGCAGCACTTTCAGCATATGCACATCCGAGTTGGAGACCGGGCTGAACTCAGCAGAGCCTTCACACAAAGGGATGTGGTTGCCTTCTCAGAACTAACAGGGGATGTTAATCCTTTGCATTTAAATGAAGATTTTGCAAAGCACACCAAGTTTGGAAAGACAATTGTGCATGGAGTTTTGATCAATGGACTTATTTCAGCTCTCCTGGGTACTAAAATGCCAGGCCCAGGCTGTGTATTTATTTCCCAGGAAATTCACTTTCCAGCCCCTTTGTATGTTGGAGAAGTTGTTGTAGCTTCTGCAGAAGTGCAAAGGCTGAAGCGGTTCATTGCAGTTATTGCTGTGTCATGCTTTGTAAGAGAAAGTGAAAAGACTGTTATGGAAGGCTGCGTGAAAGTTATGGTCCCAGAAGCTTCCAAACCCTGAAATATGTGTTTAAAGATGCAAGTTCAGGCATCAGTGTTACTGTTATTGAAGAGCCTCTGAGGAAAACGGATTGCTGCTCTTCAACAAGGAGTGGCCAGCAGCCCCAGCAGCCCACAGCGGGGGAGGGCAGCAGGTAGCGAGGGGTTCACATGTCCACTTTCTAATTTGGCCTTATGTTTCATACAGATGAGTCTATTTATCATCTAAGTTTGTAAATTTGAAAAAATATGGGGAAAGTTATCATTTAGCTCAAGGTTCTAATTTTAGGATTTCAAACCAAGTTAAATTTGCATTTGGATAACACAAACTTACCTATATCTGCATCGAATAAATTTCTCAGTGAATTTATAGCTAGGTAGCATTTTAATTTTTGACAGCAATTAGAATAGGAGTTGGGTAATCTTTGAACACCTGTCTTTTACCAATAAATATTTAGATACTGTTCTTCAGTAGTTTCTGGGTCAGAGTCTTTTGTAATTTGTTACTGTTTATACCAGGATGGCATCTTGCTTAACCTTCAAGTGGAACGTGCCTCTCAGATGGTTTCTTGTTATAAGAGAAATATTTAAACTCAGTTATGTAAACTTTTGGTCTAATCTACAAAATGGGGGTAATGACACCTACCACAGGATTGTTGGAGATACAAATAGCAAAGCACAAGGCCTAGCCTGTAAACAGTAGCTACTACTATTGTTCCTTCTCCCCTGTGAATGAGGTTAGAGGTTTTCCTGAGTTTAAAGCTAACTGGCCTGCAGGTAAACAGGCCAGTCTTTCAGGATGGTATTTTAAACCTGGAATAGTTCTTGAGTGCAAAATTTCTATTTTAGCAATCCAGATTATTTTCTCCCTCCCTTGATAATGTGGTCCCCCCCACCCCCCATATGTAAATAATATGTACTTATTGTAAAAAAATTTATAAGAAATAAAAAGTATAAGGAACAACGTGGAGGCCAAGTTCTTCAGAGTTGGGGGGCATTAAAGAGAAAATGTGCCTAATGTGTTAGTATTCAATAGTCATCCCCAACACAGCTAATCCTTTTAAGACAATCTGTAACGGAACATGCTTGTGGCCCACCTGAATGGCTCTGACCATACCTAGATGCTTTGATCAGGAAAGTAAGATCAAGTGTAATTGGTTGGATCAACCCACATTTCCTGGAAAAAGGTTTTTTCTCCTGCTAGTAGATAAGTAACTAGATTTTTATTTTAGTTTTTTATATTCAGGGGATCAGTTAAATGGATTACTTGAAAGAATTCTAGTCACTAGAGGGCAGTGATGTGTATAAAGTATTTTTAAACTTGTTTAATATTGTACCATACTCTAGTTTGTGACTGAAGTAAAAATAATCAAAATCAATGTGAGAAACAAGGGTGCCATTCTCATGCATTTCAGAGTGGGCAGCATTCACAGGCTCATATCCACCGGAAGAAGGCTTGCTGATAGATAAAACACTGCACATGTTGAAAATTTGATATACGTTGAAAAAATGGGGAACTTGCACAAAATGTGGACTGAAGCCATATTCAAATTCTATAGAACTCATTCTCTGACTTAGCAGCAGTCTTGAAATGGAGTGTGATATCATCATTAATACTAATAGCTACCATTTCTTCAATACTTGATGAGCCTATTTTCTACATTAATCCTTTGAACAACTTTGTGAAGTTAAACTCATGTTGTCCTATTTTATAGGCAAGGAAACAGACTAATGCTGCGTGACTTGCCCAGGGTTGTACAGTGAGTATGCAGGAGAGCTGGGATTCAGACAGGCCTGCCTGGCTGCAAACATTTCTTTTTTACATCACCCTGTGTCTTACAATGTTCCCATTACTAAATCAATGTCATTTTCTAGAATAGTATCTTTATGGCCATTAAAAGTATCTGGAAACATTCTATAGAATTTTTCTTATATTCAGAATGTTCTAGATCTTATTCCCTGCTACAGTTGTAGCATTTTCCTCTATACTATTACTTTATGGCTTCCACCCATACCTATTCCTGCCCTTTTTCTAAGTTGACATTCAGTGATTATTTGTCTCCAGAGCAGATTTACTGAAAGAGTTATTCTAAAGATGAAAAATTATGTGCAGGCCAAATATTTGGGGATGGGTGGGAAGGGGTGTCAGAACTGGCTGTTAGCTGATTTATATTGTATAACTCGAAAGTATTTTCTCAAGCTCATTTCCTTTTTCTTTAATGCCCCCGAGGTGTCATGATCTTTGATCTCTATAAATCAGTAAAAAGTTGAATAGGTGAGTAGGCAAGAAGTTAGGGATGCTTCTCTGTAAATGATGATTTGTTATTTTTACTCAGAGCCAAGATTTTCAAACCAGCTATGTTAAAGCTGGCAATAAGAAAAACTAGCAAAAGAAAAAAAAGAAAAAAAACTAGCGGGTTGGCTTTTTCATTTTGAATCCTGTACGGGTAAGCTGCTGGGAAGAATGACTTCTAATGAAAGTGTGGGTGACCCTGAAATTAGGAAATCTTCCAGATAACAGAGATGGCTTTGACCATGTGAGGTCACACATGGCAGTGAGTACAAATGACTGACTAAAATAGCAGGCCAAAGTGTGCTAGCACTTTCCACATAGGGGCATTATAAGACTACAAATTATGCAATGTTTGATTGTCACAGGAAGATATACTCATCTTAAGCAATTTCAGCCTAATGTACTGGAAAATTGCTTAACAGATTTTTATATTCTATTAGAAACATTTCCATATTGGTAATATGTTTCTTTTTCTGAGCAGCAAATCTTGAGTAACAGCGGAGAAAGCCTCACCACAGCCACCATTCATCTTGCGGACTTGACTTGTATATTCATCTAGGAAAACAAGAAATTGCTAAATGCACGCTGGTACCTTTTAGGTAACCACAGGTTTTCATTTTGTGCTAAATTACTATTTTTTTTAAGGTTCTTAGAGTATGATTCAGAGCAATTTACTCCCAAAGAAAATTGCTATTAAATTACATCTATTAAATTTTTATGTTAAAACATACTCCACCAAGGGCTGTCACTCTGAGCAGCTGTGCCACTCTGACTGCCTCGTGTGTTGGCAGAATTTATGAACTGGCTCTGTCTGGGCAGAATGGGAGCACTGTGGAATGTCTCTTGGGCTGCACTTGAACGTCTCCAGGGCCCCAGATGTTTTACTTCCTTTGTTCTTGGCTTGTCTTCATCGGGGTTACAAACACAGCAGAGACAAGAATTCTCAACGTCTTCAGTGAAACTTCAGCTTGGAGCAAAATCAACTCGAAGAAATTTAAGTTCAAATCACAGGAAAACCCAAAACGAATGTTGACACTGCATGAATAGAGCTGGATTATAGGAGGTCCCATAGTCAATTTCTAGGTGCCTCTTAGCTATGATAGTTCACAGGACCTTAGAAACCTTGGGAATATTCCTCTGCAATGTGATGGGCAATATCAACACGTAAGAGAAATAAGATCAAATTTGAGTTGAATTTTGTTTTTCTATCCAGATCATGAAGTTTCGAGTCGTCAGGGATATGAAAGCACCAGGAGAAAATAAATGGTAGCTCCAAAGTCCCTCCTAGGAGAGGAGCACCCAAGCACCAGTGTTATGATTGTCTGTCTTTCTGTTTGTTTGAATATTTAAAGAAATAAAGTCATTTTGAGTCGGGAGGCGATGCTGCTTAGGAAGCACTGAGTTTTCCACAAGCTTCTATGATTTGATTTGTGGAGCAGTTGCAAGGTCTAAAAGCATCCTCACTAAAACTCATCTTCAGCCCATCTGGCCAAACGTCAAGGTATAGATAACCTATGGGCCATCTAACATTTGGCAACATACAAAGATATAAATCTTTTGTTGCTTCCTGCTAGCCCTGACTAGTCGTGTATGTGGCAAAAGCGAAGGTCCTGCATAATGCATTAGCTTTGCTCAGACTGAGACTGGAAGGAAAGCTAATTTGATTTGTTATTCCTGGGGAGGGTTCCCCCCTTGCTGTGTGAGCCACTTCAAAAGCTCAAACAGGTGTTGAGGCAGTTGTAGGGTTTGGGGCCTGGTCTCCAGTGAATCTAGGGATCCAGTTAAGTTCAAGGTCCTAAGAGGATCACTGACAAGGCACTGATTTGGGAAGATGAAAATGAAATTATAAGGTTCACCATGGCATTTATTCTGAAGGGCTTAGTTCAGGCAAGCATTTCCAGAGAAAGGGAAAGGCTAGACTGAAAGTTGGTTTCTGGTTTCATTCCATCCAATATCTGGTTTCTCACTTTCAGTTTCCTTTTCCCAGTGAGGAAGACTAGACAAGGCTGTTATTTTATGACCTTTGCAACTCATTGTATGATACTGCTTTTTTCCCTAATCATACAAGTAAATTATCTCCATTAGAGACAGTTTGAAAAACAGGAGAGCATAAAAATGGAAAGCATCGTGATCCCACTTTCTAGGAACCCTAAGTTAATATTTTGGTGTTTTTCCTATAATATATATTTTTAAAACTTGGTATCATACAAATGCATATACAGTTGACACTTGAACAATGCAGGGGTTAGGGACACTGACCCCCATGCAGTTGAAATTCCACAAATAACTTTTACCTACCTCAAAACTTAACTACAGTCAACCCTTGGTATCGGATTGGTTCCAGGACCCCCCCCATGGGTACCCAAATCTGCAGATGCCCAAGGCCCTTATATAAAAAGGCATTTAAAAAAGCATATAGTCAGCCCCCTGCATCTGCAGATTCCCAACCATGGATCAAAATACTGTTTTTGGTCTATAATTGGTTCAATCTATGGATGCAAAACTGGAGATACTGAGGGTGGACTATATTTATTGAAAAAAATCCAGGGATAAGTGGATCTGCACAGTTCAAACCTGCATTGTTCAAGAATCAACAGTTGTTTTTTTCCACCTACTATTATATAAAGAGCATTTCTTAACATCATTTTGTATTCTTTGATAATCTGATTTTTTAATCTTATTTTTAATAATGGAAAAATATTCCATTTATGATTAACCATGATTCGTCCAGTTCCCTCTTGTTTGATCCTTATCCTCATGCTGTATATTTCCACTGATGTCTGATTATTTCCTTAGGATACCCTCCTAGATATAGAATTACTGAGTGAGAACATTTGCAAAGCCCTTGATAAATCTTGTTGAATCCCAGCACCAGACCTATTACATGGTAAGTACCCAGTAAGTAATTGTTGAACGAATAAGTGCCTTTAGAAAGGTTGGAGCATTGCAGAGTCCCACCAGCAGGATGCAAGAAGAGCTTTGGCATGGCCAGTGCACATGATTGGAGAATTGATTAAAGCAGAATTTGGGCATGTGTGATTCTGGCAATGAAATAATCCATTTGCATGAAAAAATAAAAGTTACAAGTTGAATCCTCTCTAAGTGATGTAAGATTTTGTTTTAATAGACCGGGCCTGGCCAGCATGGCGCAGTGGTTGAGCTCGACCTGTGAACCAGGAGG